TATACTTATTGGCTAAAATCTCTAGCACGATATTGAATAAAAGTGGTAAGAGTGGTCCTATTTGTCTTGTTCTTAGTTTAAGATGGAAAGCATTTAATTTTACTTTTAACTATAATATAAGCTGGAGATATTCTGTAGTTATTTCCTATTGGAACAAAAATACTCATTTATGTTCTGATGTTGCTGAGATTTTTTTTTTTATTACAGATGGCTATTAAATTTCATTACATGTTTTCCTATATCTATAAATGTGTTTCTCTTTTCCCCCTTATTTAATCTCTTTGTTTGAAAATCATATTGTTTGATTTTCACATGTCAAACCAAACTTGAATTTCTGGAATAAATCTCCAATATGCTGTATGTCTTTATATTTATTATACATTACAGCATTGATTTGATAATATTTGTTCAGGACTTCTGGATCCATGTTCAAGAAGGATATTACTCTGTAGCTTTTGTTTTATTGTAATATAAAACAATTTGCTTGGATTTTCAGGTATGATTTTCTGTGTACACAAATTTGGGCGAGGCCATCATCCAATGCCTGTTCTTCTAAATTGCTTTAACAACTTGGAACGTTGATTTTAGCAGCTCTCAACAAGAGGGACAAGATTGAAGGGCTAATGTCAAACTATGAGGTTTCTAAGAGACTAACCAAAATGATCCAGATGTATAAAATTCCAGGGAGAAATTGGAGCTGAAAACATTTGCTTTCCACATCTTTCTAGCTCTTCCTTTCCTACCATAGACTTCATGACTATGTGACTAGAGAAGTTGGCCTATGCCACTAGTGCTTGGGTCTTTTTTACTTTTAAGCCAAATACACCTGAAGGTCTTTGACATAATGTTGTAAAGCCTTGGTTTACAAATTGAAGGCACTGCGTCAAAAAGACAGAAAGACCTGAGTCCTTGAAGCCCTCAGAGCACTATTTTTACCAACCTGTACTTTTTGTGAGATACGTCCTAAATTATTTAAGTAATTTTTATGTACATTTTCATTTTTTTCAAACAAAAGTAGCATAACCGTTACAAAACTATATCTAATATAGGAGGATGTTTTTATAATCTAGTCACAGAAATAAAAACAATAAAGTAAAAGGTTTTTTTTTATTACCTTTGAAATATTTCAGGGAGAGGAAGAGAAATGTATTTGTGGGGCTTCTATCTATCAAACTGTGATAGCTTGATGAATTGCCCTTTTGCATTCTAGGGATATTGAGAACTTGGAGTGGTAATCAAGAATCTAAACATTCTGCCAAGTAGGCAATCTAAGAGACAAGCTGACAAATTTTTCATCAGGTTCCTTCACATTTTTAAACTTCATGCTGATCACACTTCTCCTGGTATTTGTCACTGTGAAATCAGTGGCCTCATTTTCAAAACACCCTTAGGGCATGGTATAATTTCTATGATTTCAAATCACCTAGCATTAGTTATATCTTACCATGGTTAATACTTGTGTGTGTGTGTGGGGGGTCATTAATTATACCTGGAGGGCTGAACACTGGCAGAGGCGGGGGGGTTTTAAAAGCCAATGTAGCAACTGGCAGGAACTTCCGAGGCAAGAAAGTGTTAAAGGGTGTGTTTGAAGTCATTCTTTTGTAAGACACAGAACTAGAAGTTACTTGCTTAGTCAACGGGTTATTACACTGGTCCTCTCCTGGGATTTCAGGTTTAAAATAGACTTTTGGCCCTCCTGAATCCTACTCAGTACAGCAGAGACCTGGTTCAACCAGAATCAGGTGTTGTCACTCTTAATGGCTTCCCATGTCAATCAGGGTAAAAATGGAATTTCTCACAGTGGACAAAAGCCTCGCATGGGCCTGGCCTTCACTGTCGTCTTGGCCTTTTGATCATTCTGCTACAGCTCAAGTCAAGAGGCAACGTCAGACCTCAGAGCCTCTGCACTGCTGATCCCTTTCCCGAAAGGGTTTTCTCCCAGATATTTACCTGGCCAGCTCCTTCGGCACTGAGTCTTCAGTCCAATTTCATCCCAGGGACACTTTTCTCCCCAAATTGACACTTTATCTTCCCTCATTATCTTATTTTTTCCAATGGTCCTTAGCACATGTAATAAAAAAATTTAACTAGTTAGAAACAGAAATATAAGTTATGAGAGAGTAAGGATTTTCATCTGTTTTGCTCAATGGCACTATTTACTCAAAACTTGAGAACCCAAAGAATGTTGACCAAAGGAATGAAATGACTGGAAATATTGAATCAGCAGACCCACGACTATGCCCTAGGGTGAAATTTGGATTTGAGGTCAAACATTTCAGGGTGTATTCAAGTATATATTCTACTTAAACTTAAAGTGCTAGGTTGCATTAAATGATTATTTCTGGCAAACTAAGTCCAGCTGCTTCCATGTGCAGTCATTGAAACTTGAGGCAGAGATTAGAGAAGAAGGGAGTTTATTTCTACAGCCAGGTTACGGGGAAAGAGCTGGCAAGCACCACCCAGCTGTCCCAGAAAGTGTAGTATGTGCTCAGTATTTTTAGATATAAGCACATGAAAATCATTCCTCATTACAATCAAAGTCAATCGCTTTCTCCTGAGTAATTATCGCCATTGCTGTTTTCTCATTCAGCCATTCATCCAACAGACCTCCCCATGATTCAGCATTTGATCAGATTGTTCTCAGTTTGGTCTTTCTTCATTTCAAAATGGCTGTAGTCCTGCCAAAACTCAAGCTGTCCTGCTTTATGATGACTAATCTCAAGTTTTACATATATGTGTATATATATATATATATATACACACACACACACATATATATATATGTGTGTACATATACATATATATGTGTACATATATTAAACTCTTTAATCTTCCTTTGTATTTTTTAAGAGATTTTTGCTATAGGGCATGTACTCTCCCCAGAGACACAGAGAGAAACAGAGAGACAGAAGGCTAGAAATCACCCCCCCCCAAAGAGGGATGGCTATGCCACAATCCCTTCTCCTCCATTCTCCTCTCATGATTTTGGGCACGCACGCATACATATCTAGTGTGAGTTTGAAGCCACCAGGTCTGGGACTCAAACTGCAGTCGACTACATGGGAATTAAGCGATGTAACCATTACACCATCTGCTGGTCCCTTCCTTTGTATTTTTAAAATACAATGGTAAGTAGCATTAGGGTTTCTTAATCTCAATACTATTACTATTTTGAGTCAAATAATTCTGTGTTGTAGTGGCTGTCCTGTTGATTGTAGAGTGCTTAGCACAGCCCTTGGCCTCTACTGACCAGATGCCAGGGCAAGTCCTTTCTCATTGCCAGATGTTCCCTGGTGGGAAAAATTGCTTTCAATTGTTAACCACTGATGTAAGTAATTTTCATACATATCTATTTGAATAAGGGATTGTTTTTGATATGACACAAGTAATTAGGTGGAAATCATGAGAGTCTCATGCTTACTTTACCAACCCTACAGACAAGCACCACAATCAGACTGGTACCATTCATCTAACTGGTGACAGCGTGCTACGATTGTAGGTGCTAGGGATAAAAAGAAAATGAAGAACCCTTTGTTTAACTAATTCCTGGAAACTCCACTGCTCAAGAGTGTTAGTAAATGCTGTGACACCTCTTTCAGCAAAGGGCCTGGGAAAAGTGTTCATAAACAATAATACTATGCATTTCTCCACAACTTACCACGGGGGATTATATTAAAACAAGTATTGCCTGCTTCATGGAGAAACTAGAATCACAAAGGGAAAACAGGTACCTAAAGTCTGTGTGCAGGTGGAAGAGAGTTTTGCATTTATTTCATTTGAAGATGGTGTGGGGGGTGTGTATGGGGAGTTTGGTTGGGGTAGACTAGAAGTGTCGGTGAATTTCTGGTGCCTCTGCCTTCCGAAAAAAATGATTGAGTAAAACCTCTACTTGCATCGCCAACTCTATCCTCAGATAACGGTCAACGTAAGAGCCCCAAGTTGATAAAATCTACTTCCCACAAAACAATGCTTCTAGTTTGGGGGGCTAAGGATAGTTCTAAGTAAATTTAAACTGTAAAAGTTATATAAAATGCTTAGTAAATATTTGTCAAGTTGAATTGAAGGCACTTAACCTCAGAACCATGAGAAGTGGAAGTATATTTTATGATCACTTTGGGGTAAAAGCCATGAAACAATAGGCTACAAAGTAAACGCCAGTAGAAAGAGCAAGCCGAGATCTTGAAAGAAGTGATAAGTGACAGAAAAGCCCACAATTTACATTTTGAATATGTTTGGATAAATCTGTCTTATACTTCTTGATCATTTTACACAATATTTTTATCTCATCTATATCATAAATATTCATTTCTGTGTGACTCAAACACTCCCAGAGATATTACATTAGCATCTCCCCCCAACTGAATCAAATGGAGTTCTAGAAAGCTACGAGGAAGCCAGTGTTTGTTACAAAGCTCTGAGTGCACTACATTGATTAATCCCTAAATCCTTGGTGTCAAAGGCACATGTCACTAAATAGGTCATTAAAGTCACCAAGGAAGCCGGAAAAGGAAAAAAGCCCCCTAAAGGAGAGTGGCACTTAATTGGAAACTTTCAGACATCTGTCACTCTCCATGACAATGGAGAAAAGGCATTTTGAACATTTTGGGCTGTTCAGGTGGGATGAGACTGACAGCTGAAGTGATGGCGTTGAAAGGAGGGCGTTAAGGGAGTGGGAGGAAGGAGAGGCTGGTTTTGAAGGTTTTGCTTTTTTATCTTGAATATCACGTTAAACATTGTATGGGGCCCAAACCGTAACCTAAAATGCCACCGATTGTCCATTTAAGATAACCTAACTTGGCAAACTGGGGTGTGTCCCCAGCCAAAGACGAGATCACGTTTGGAGTTTGGCAAAGAAATTTGGGTTCGTTCTCTCTGCTAAAAACAATGCAGTGTTACATCTCCTAGTCTCTTGGTTCAAATCCGTTCTCTTGCTCCGTGGGGAGAGACTGCCCCTGGAGTATTCTGCTTTTAATAAGCTTCCCAATCAGCTCTCCAGTGCAAAACGTCTCCCTCCCTCGCCCAGCCCGCGTCCTCTCTCTGCTCGCTCCTTATCCCTCCCATTCTCCATTCCTCTTCCGTTCCCTCCCTGTCAGGGCGTAATTGAGTCAAAGGCAGGATCAGGTTCTCCGCCTTCCAGTCCAAAAATCCCGCCAAGAGAGCCCCAGAGCAGAGGAAAATCCAAAGTGCAGAGAAGGGAAGAAAGAGACCAGTGAGTCATCCGTCCAGAAGGGAGGCGCAGCCGCCCGGGCAGGAGCAGCTGCGGACGGGTACCTGGACTCCGGCAGGAACCTCGCCCCTTGCAACAAAGGCCGCCTGAGCCCAGAGAGACCTTTGCAGCTCAAAGTAAGTGAGCGGAACGAAAGCGCGATTGCTCCCCGGGGGCTCCAGTCCAGTTTGCCTGCACCTCTGCACCTTTCTGGGTGCCAGCGAGGAAGGCGGTAGGAGTGCGCGGGAGGCTGTCTGGTGTCTGCTGATAGGACTGCTTTCAAAACTGACTTGCTCCGGAGGCAAATAGAGGCATATTTCTGGGGAGTCTGGTCAGGTGAGTTAGGGCGCGCTTAGAGGAGTGGGAGCAAAGAAGCTTTTGTCATGTTAAGCGTGCAGGGGGACAGAGTTCCAGCTTCCAGTCTGAGAACGCGCCAGGGTGGACTGGGAGAGTGTATCTTTGCTCTCGGTAAACCCGGAGCTTCAGGAGGTGTGTCTGTGCCTGGGTAGAGAAGCTAGATGCAGCCATGAGGCAGGGTGAGCAAGCAGGTCTCATTTTCCCGTCCTTTCTCTGCTGCTCTGTTTGCCCCAGGGCTTGCCAGGCGATGACTGATCGCTGGCATTTCTAGGTAAGCTGTGTGGGCTGGAGCCTCCTGGTGCTGGCCCACCAGCAGCTGGCCCTCCTCACCCTGCCTGACAGCCCAGGGATGGTAACTCTCAAGTTTAAGAGACACACCTTGAGTCCCATTCCTCATTTGAATGCTAATTTTAATAACTGCCCTGAACCTAGACACTTAGATTTTTAATTTCATTCACTGCAGAGTTGCAGAGGCAAGGTTTCTAATTAGTTCACAAAATATTTTTGAACGGAATATATTCAACTCTTTCCTTACTTAAGGCACAGATTATAAAACCTCCTCTCGACACACACACACCTTTTTCTGAAACACACATAGGTCCAAGCACAAGCATACCCACAGAGTTTATGTTCACCTATTGTAATCTCACCCCTGTCGTCTTTGCAAGTTTGGGGGTTAAATGGAAAAAACATGGAGCAGAGTTGGAGGTGGGAGGGTAGGGGGTATGAGAGAAGCGAATGAGTAATGTAAGGGAGTATTAAAGTTCCAGTCCTAGCGTCTCTCTTTTTTTAAGGATTGTAAGGCAGTTTGCTTCAGTGACTTGAGTAAGGGGTGATGTGTGTGTGTGTGTGTGTGTTGGAGGGCAGGGCCTGGGAGGAGATTCTGAAATAGCCCCAACGAGCTTTTGAACTCATAACATAATGAAGCAATTTTATGATCCCAGGCAAATGTGGAATTAATGAAACACTAGAAGAGCCCTTTTTAGCTCCTGGGTTGTCTGGGAATGAATGGATACATAGAAATATTAAAAAGTAATGAGAGTCAGACAAAAGAGAAGTCTCCCAACATAGAAAATAAAGCTTGTAGTTTCTGTCTCCACTATGTTCTCTCTTAAGTAAACTATTCACTTTAAAGGAAAGGCCAAATCATTAAAATCATTTATAGTCCAGTTAAATTCAAAGGAAATTAGATTGGATATTAGCTTTCTTTTTTTTCCCTTTAGACGTGAGTTATTTCAGACTGGTAAATTTGTACTTTCTCATTCAAATGAGAGGGATTGATATTTCTGTTATTTTATTTTTAAAAGAAAATCCTAATTCCATTCTTCTGCTTTAAGAAATTTTGTGGCTTTAAGTTGCCTAATTGTATTTTAAGTCTTTAGAAAGTGATCTTTTCACTACTTAGAGACTCTTTTAGGACATTTTTCCCCTATTTAGTGAAAGTGTAAGGATCACTCACCTGAACGCCTTAAGTGTTTTGTTCAGCTTTTTGCTAGTGGGTACAAATGCACTTTGTTCTCACAGCTAGAGTTGTGAGAGAAGTGAAAACTGTTAACATATGACTTTTTAATGATCTGATTTTCAAATGAGATATTATAGAAAACAGAATAATGAAATATAATGTATAGCAAAAATGTAAATATGTACTATACAAGGAGACTTCAAAAAGTTTATGGAATTAAAGTACAAGTATATTCTGATGCAAAACACTTAAAAATCAATGTATAGTTTTTTTTATAATACACATTTCTGTGACCTTTTTGAAGATTCCTCATGTAACATGACTCTTTTTCTGGACCTCTTTCCATGGAATTTGGAATAATAAATGTACTAATTTGTTGAAAGTTTCATGTGTGTTATTTAGTACTTACACATAACAATATGTATCAAGACTTGCATTTTTAATGGACATTTAAAACATTTATTATTCTAGTAAAGTCAATGGCCTGGCTTGATTTTTAAAGAAACCTGACAATTAAAAATAACATGAGAGAAATAAGATTTCTAAAGGTTCCATCATTTTTATCAATAAACTCAATTTGAGAAATCACTTATTTTACGTTTAAATGATTTTTTTCCCTTTGGAGATACTCTCGCCTTCTCAACTAAGTGACATTCTCATGTGAATTCTGTTTGTATTCCTATTTCTGATGTGGCGGTGTTATTAATATTCAGGAAACTGAGTTTAGTTGACTTGTTTAAGATGGCATTATGTGTTAGTGATACACAGAGGGACAAGTCAAGCTCAGAATATGATTCCAGTTCTCCAGACATTTACGCTGTTTCATATGGTAGCATAGTGATAAGGGGAGTTGTTCTTGACTTTGTTCTGGAAGGTAAGGTACTCACACCTGAGGGCCCCTCAGCCCAGATGATGGTCTGCTTCCTACTGAGCATCCAGGTTGCGTGAGAGCCTTTGTTCCATTGCATTGCTGGTGATGCAAAGCTGAGCTTCTCTGTCAGGGCAAGGAATGTTTTCTTCTCTGGCTGTGGTTCTAATGGATAATGGAAGAGA